AGTTTTTCGTCAGACAACTTTTTTCTGTCTTAAGAAAAATCAGTGCTACAACATATCAAATTTTTTTTCCTCCGGAGCCTGACTTTAACAAGTGGATTTTTGGAAGTTTTAGGGTCCAGGGGCAGAGGCCTGGAGGGGGGTTGTGGAAAAAGCCCCAGAGGCTCCGACAATGTAGCATTTTGAGGGTCTTTAATGGATTTCTCAAACACATAATTCGAGAATATTTATTTCAATTTTCATTAATTTGAATGCTTTTGGGGCCTGAAGTAGTAACGTTATATTCTGTACATCTATAGGCCTACAGATAACTTTGTTCATGGATCAATCTGCAATCACCGGAGCCTATTAATTTCCAACAAATTTAATACATATTAAAAATCAACGGTTAGAAAAGCTGGCAAAATATATATAATGCAATGCATGTTATAGCATTCGTGATAATTAGGAACGATTTTGTGAAATAATATAGGGCCTTAAAAGAATGGACCTTTTAGAAATTGGGGGTGGGGTGCGTCCCCTCCCTCTACATCCCCTGCCTACGGGCCTGTTCGTTTATTTCTGGCGCCCGGCCACCTCCGTGCTCTTCTGATTTAAATTTACTGCTCATGAAATGTGTGCGTTTGTTTGTGTCTTTTTTGGAAATTTGTTTTGATATTATTCAGGGCACGCGCTCGTCACAAGTGTCAAGTGAATTCTTCTTGTTTTTAACTTGGCTTTCCTTTTTGAGCACTACCTACTTCCTTTTAATCAAATCTGTTTATTTCAACGTTTTTTGCCCTTTTTTATCTTTTGGACATTTAAAAATTTCCGTTAATGTTAGCGTAATCGTTTAGATTTTACAAATGATAGTGAGCATCAATGAAAAGAAATAGAAGAAACTGATATGACTTGATTTAATACAATTTCGACCTCCTTAATAGTTGACATTTATAGTTCGATATGAATCATTAAGAATAATATCCCTAGTTAGAACCCCCTCCCACCCCACCCCCAAAAAATAACAAAAACAAGAACAAAAAACAAAAAAATAAAACAAAACAAAAACAAAATGACAAGAAAAGAAAACGATTAGGCCTTTATTGATTCAAATTTCCCCATATATCATGACACAAATGCGCTACAAGTTCATAATACCGCCTAATTAAAACAAAATTCAATAGCATACTTCTAAGAAATGATTGAAACCTAAAAATTCCTTTTGGGAAGTCTCGGGGCCTTTGCTTCACATTATTTCCGCACCCTTCCTCATTGGATCAAACACATGAACTTGCACTCGGTTTGTCTTGAAGTATTACAAATTGTTGCATCTATTAATCAGATAAATATAGTATAAATAATAATAAAGTTCTTAACCGTTCTGAATCAACAGAACAAGTAGCTGTCATTGACTACCACATGTTGACATGCTTCAACAGTGCAAAACAAAGGAAGGACCCTAGAGGGAAAAAATATGTTAGCTGACCTTATATTTCACTTTCACGTTCCTTGTTTTTGTTTTCTATTTTAGTATTATCTAACCGTCTAATTACTTACTTATCTTCTCTTTTACTTTCATTCTATGCTTCCTTAACTTTCCGTGATTCCTATTTACATACCTTTTCTTTCTTTAGTCTCCCTTTTCCTTTTAATTACATTTTCTTTCCTTTCCCCTTCTTCCTAATACCTAAAAAAAAAACTAACAAAAAAAAAACAAAAAAACAAAAAAAACTAAAATATAAAGAAAAAATAATACTTACCATTAGGCATTCATAAAAGTGTAATAAGATGATGTGAATATTAGTATGTAGGTTTAAGTCTATACGCATTTATAGGACTAATAAATAGTGATAACAGTCATATAGGCTCCATGATTACATCATCTATATCTAGTCAGAGATTTTGAGCGTCAGTGTACAAACATGCGAAACTGATTAACAATCAGACTTTACACCCAAGAGATGCAGAGATTCCAAAGTTATGCTTCATGTCCATGTTCCAAGATATTATTCTCTTGAAGACGATTGAAGCAACTCATTCTCAACAAACAACAGTTCTTTTCAGAACTATCTACTTGGTGTACCGCAAGAATTAATATTATTATAATTATTTCGTCATAAAACCCTCAAATAATAATAATAATAATAATAATAATAATAATAATAATAATAATAATAATAATAATAATAATAATAATAATAATAGTCACTGTATAAAATTAAACTTCCTAGCATTATTCTATATAATTATGATAAGATACCGGTATTTCAACCAATAAATCGTGAACATATAAAAATATGCTCAGAAAATAGGAAAACATTATAACTCCAGTCTGAAGTCGGAGGATGTTACCTCAGCGTGGTAGACAGGTGTCAACATCCCTTGGTAACCATGTTATCATCATGATACGGGATGGCTACAGCATCATGCTTTAACATAATTAGGCCTTTCACCACCACCACCATCATCACCACCACCACCATCATCACCACCACCATCATCATCATCATCAAATATGCTGCAAAATCCTGGATATGCATTCTAGGGAAGTAAATGTAGAAAGAATAAACATAATATTGGTTCAACACACTCCTTGTGATATAAGCAGGTAAATTGCTTTATCTGACCCAATAATTTGTTTTCGTTGTATCAGTTTAAATTTTGAAACGGTATAATTAATTTAATAGAAGGATGTGGTCAGCAGAGTCGAGGCATTATTTATAAATGGCAATAGGCCTAACAAAGGATCTGATCAGGTCACAGTCGATTATATTTTTCATCCAATACCGTACTCGCGCGAATAAGCATCCGGGCGCTTAAATTTGTATTTTTTTAGGGGTGCTTATTTAAACGCGGCGCTTATTCAAACGGGGCGCTTATGGAAACAGAGTTGAATATGGGGCGCTTATGGAAATAGATGAAAATTGAGGGGTTCTTATGGGAACTTGGAAAATTCAAGGGGCGATTTTTGAAGGAAAAAGAGATTAGCTTGAACCTTGTTTACCATCTGGCGATTGAGATTAGTAGGATCATTGCAGGGTCTCTTTCAAACTCAGATGAGAACGTGCTACCGGTGCACAATGTCACAATGCACAAAGAGAAAGAGAAGTAGGGGATAATGTAAGAAGAAGAAAGTTGGGAAATATTGTCCAGGGAGCTCTCATCTGTCCAGAAAAAAATATCCTAATTTTGAAATTGACGTAAGAAGAAAATGTGATGCGCTTATTTCGAGAGGGCGCTTATTCAAACGAGGCGCTTATTCGCGCGAGTATCTATACTGTACCTCGATGAAGGCATGTGGCGGCGGTAGAATGAGTTTTTTTAAGCATTAATTAATTGATTTAAAAAAAATAAAATTTGAGAAATATGGAGCACCACAAGGGCAGGTGACATTAACAGCAAATTAGTATTCATCTTTCGACGAATAAATGTTCACTTACAACTTTCACTGGAAGACAGGCTCAGGGATGGTTTGTGAAAGTGACGGAGTCATAGGCCTATACAACTACTTGTCCAGATTTAGTATTAATATAGTGCCACAAAGAGTGTTCCATTGAATTTTATGCTGCTGGTATTGATATTACTTTTAAATCCACTTTCGGAACTGTAAATCGGCAAATGTGGGTCACAGTTGTTAAGTTGGCACTTTGGATATTCGGCAAACTTTTGCAAAGTGGACTAAGTCTAGATCCAAGTTTAAAATCAAAAGTTTAATTTAGTATAGTCGAATAAGCCCTGACTGGTTTTCCTCTAGGCTTTTATTCGCGCAAATCATGAGCTCCGATTGGTTGCGCATATTTTTGCTTTGCAAAAACTCCGATAGAAATGTGAATGCGCAAGCGCATGAACCGACGCTTTCGATTCGCGCGAATAAATTCGCCTAGTGGGAAACAGGCTTTAAACACAGTAGGCCTATAATAGCTCTACGTTTCTTCTTGGTAGTGGGGTGGACACCAAATGAATTTGTTTGAATCTTAGGCCTATCAAATATGATCTTGCATGTAGTGGGTATGATTTGAGCACGTATGATGATATCGTAATGTTAAAGGAGATTGCTTTAAATATAAAAATGTGGTCAGATATGGTTTTTTTTACTAGTCCGATGAGAGACCAAAAATTGAAACGATATTTGAAATTTCAGTTTTTGATATGTTGCTGTGCATACACATGCCTAAAGGACATGTTTATTTGTTTTATTTCATAATTTTCTTTCGTGTGATTCTTTTTTTTTTTGCTTTTCATGCATTTTTGTACTTTTTTAACGACTTTTATAATTATATTTGTAATTTAAACATTTTCCTGCAATGAGGAAATGCCCTGTTCTGTTTTACAAACATACAGTACTGGTAAGTATAGATGTATAGATATAGGCCATAATAATAATAATAATAATAATAATAATAATAATAATAATAATAATAATAATAATAATAATAATAATAAAATACTGATAATAATAATAATAATAATAATAATAATAATAATTATTATTATTATTATTATTATTATTATTATTATTAATTATTATTATTATTATTATTGTATACTTATATAGCGCATATCAAACTTCTCTATGCGCTGAACATTATTACCCCGGATCACTGGATCAAGCACATATGGAACACACACTCAGGCCCCATAGGGGAATTCCATAATGTTGCAGCTGCTGTATTCAGCGCAGGCTGTGTTTGAACCTACCAGGTACCCACTTTTACTCCTGGGTGGAGAGAGACAACCGTAGATAAAGTGCCTTGCCCAAGGACACAAGCGACTTGCACAGCGAGAGTTTTGAACCCCCGACCTCGAGGTTTAATAGTATTAAATTATTATTATTATATCATCATCAGCATCATTACTTGATTACTATGATTTATTGTTTAAAACCAAGCAAGGACTTAAAACTGTACATATAAAAATCATTGCAAAATCGGCACTGGCAAAACTCCCCTCCCTTGTCCTGCTCCCACCCTTTTCGATCATCTGAACACAGTTACGCGCATGACAGTGATGACGTAAATATTTGCCAGTGATCATCAAAACAAAAATGGCTGAAAAAAATTGAAGTAGGCTTTAGCCTTTCAAAACCAAGAGTATCCATTGTTGTTTAGTGACATAAGAAAACTGGTTGTTTTCGTAATTGATTTAAAGGGATTAATGATGGTGGTATAGCATTTCGAGGGCCTTTTTCGTGTTTTGGAAGTCGTAAAGCTGCAAAATCGGCTGGCATTTGCTAGCCCAGCAGACGGGCTGAACAGCCATTTAACTTATCAAGGGATAGGCATAGGGCCTAGCCTAGCCTAGGCTTCGTGTCTTGGATGGAGTAAAGGTATGTGCGGATTGGCCGTCTCATCTCTATTTAAATTTAGTATAGTAGGCCTATTCTTAGAATATGTAGTAAATAGCCTAGTTTGATACTATACAACTCTGCTAATAATGATGGGTATGACTGCTTTAGGCCCAGCAGGGAGGCTTTATTTAAGATTTTTTTTTATTACTACCTACTAGCCTAGGCTCTAGCCTAGTTAGAGTAGGCCTAGTAGCTAGCAGTCCAGTGGCTAGCTAGGCCTACAGACTAATGCTACACCAGTCTTACTCTCTTATTCTAAGCTTCTCTAGCCTACTAGGCCTAGGGCACGCTGACCAATCCTCGCCAGGTAACACAAAAATTATGTTCACATGGAATATAGGATTATATATACTTCAACATGAATATAATTACTGTCATTAAATAGTGTAATAGTATATTCACCATGATAAAAAAATATACTGTACAATCATTACTTAATTAATTACTTGATAACAACCGAAGTTTTTCATACCTACTTTGGGCATGCGCGAACCAGATGTCGGCACCAAATATCCGGCAACCGTTTTTACAGCCCATTATAGGAAGGAACTTCCCCTTATTTAGTGTGAATATTTTTGTTGGTCCTATCCTATCCTGTTATGTTTATTGGATTTCAAGCTATTTAGATAAGTTTTTATAAAGTCTCATTTGATCAAGAAAAATAATGAAATATTATATTTTTCTTTGTATTTTTTTTAGGTGGATGAATTTTTGGAGACATCTCTAGCAAAGACCTCTATATCAAGTTTAATACAATTGTTTAATTATTATTATTAATAATTATCTTCATTATTTTTATAATCATTACCATCATCAATATCATCATTAACACAGTTTTATGATGATGAGTAAAAACACATGGTTTAGTTGAGGGTGGGGGTGGTTGAGTTTGAGCCATCTTTGACAAATAAATAAATATAATCTAATCCAAGGTACTGTAACTTATGAAGTAAATTGAAGTTTCTATTAGATAGCATTGGCCTTCACCTAGATACTATTGCTGCCAAATTGTCCCTGTAATTTGACGTGCGATTCAAAAATTTCCCTCTACCATAACGGTACTAGCAAGTTATTAGCCTACTTTCTGCTCCTACCAATGTGTAATTTGGTAGATAAAGCATTTTGTGTGAAAAAAGAGAGAGAAACACAAACAATAGCTTTTATTTTGAGAAACACATCAGTTAAAATAAAGATTTACAAACTGTTTATAATGCTCGTATTGTAAAATACCACATGCCAAGATATGGAAATTTACATGTCGTTATTCCAATTGTCGGCACACCCCCTCTAACACGCTATTCAATTTGAAATCATAAAAATGAACTGTTCTGAAAGCCTTGGGTATGTGGTTACTCAAGGCAATATTATTCAACATGTCTGGATTTATTTGGAATTAAGTTTTTCCCTCTTCCGGAAATGGGAAAGGCTGTAGTTAGTGATTGGCTCAATTTTGGTATCAAATTTCACGTCAGGGTTTTTAGGCTTGGTGTTTTGTATCATGGAGATATCGGTAAATTTTGCAGTGAAAGAGATGGAGACTTTCGTGTTGTTTTTACATTATTAATAAAATCATATAAGATGTTGCGAACATTGACAGTGCGTAAATGTACTTAATTAATTATAAGTAATGAGGTTGTTGGCCTCCCAATAAATGGCATCCGGCCAATGATTGGTCAGCGTACCCTAGGCTAGTCTTTATGTCACGAATTGTAAATTAAAGAAGGCATTGGCTATTGCTTCCTTTTGGTGTTTGCATTGGCCTGGCTTAAACTCTCTCTTCGCACTACCCTCTCTCTTCGCACTACCCTGGTAGGCAAAAAAATTTGGCCAATATATCAAAATGCACTAGGAAATCAGTATAGGCTAGGCCTACTGGTTATGTTTATTTTTGTTGTGCCAAAAATATGAAAGCTACTGATGAAATTCATACATGAGCAATTTCACAGTAAATAGACATGCCCCAAGCAATATTTTTCGCAAGGTATAACTAAAGATTTTATTGTTTAATGTAATATTTTTACATGTATATTATCATATAAATGAGTCTACATAATAAAAATCATTTCATGATCATATAATTCACAGTAAAAAAAAAAAAATAATTGACGTACTTTTTAGCCATATTTCATAGTATAAATTTTTTTAAATTGTATTATAAGGATAGAGCTCATTATTTCTATGAAATATATAGGAAACTAATAAGATAAAACACTAGAAAGAAAAATAAAACTCTTTTTTTATTAAAAAAATATGCAATTTGATGGTTTTTGTAACGGGTGTAACATTTATTGAGGAAGTTCAAAATGGCCCAATACTCCTAAGAAGAAATATATGTACAGTATTATTTTTAAATGTTTATCAAATTGGTAATGATACCTTGCCTTTTATTTTTGGTGCATCCACAATGGAAGGTCATTGACTCAAATGTATGTCAAGAACCTGTTCGTCTGTTACAAGGGAATAGGATGTAGTGTTTTAAGATACAAACATGCATATTTCTTTTGGAAAACATTTAACTATCTTATCACACACCTTTTTGAAAAACATTGATATCATATCTTTTGTTGCACAGAGTTTAGCCTAAATCCTCTGTACTCTATTTTTCCATGAAAATGTCACGATACCATGTCCATTTATTGTGTAATAACTCATATGGCATAGTTATATATATTAGGAGGAATTGACAAAAAAAATAAATAAATAAAAGACAAGAAATTGAAAGTGTGTGACGACATCGTCCCTGCCGGAATGAAGGGTCTTCAATAAGCCTGTAAAAATATTCTGTTAACCACTCGGTGTCGCTACGCTAACTTTGACAAATATTTATTGCATTTTTTTTTTAAATGAATCGAATAATTACTCGGCAAGTAATCATTTAGTGAACATTATAGTTGCCTAAATGTAATATTAAGACCGTTGAATTGGATTGCATATATCCTGAAAAATGCATTTTTCGTTCGTTCTAACTCATACACTGAATTGCTATACTATGTTGTTGCTGCCAGCATCCATCGGGCAATGGAGAAACTGTGGTAGCGTCATGTAAAGAAGCCTTCACTTTCTTCGGCTAGCGTGCTCGCATTTGGCAACATCCGAAGAGATAAGACGAAAATGACTTTAAAAAATTGAATAAAAATAGAAAAAATATAATTTCCCAGATTTAATTTTTTTTTTTGTTGATTCCTAATACTGTATGTATTAACCTAGCGAAAAGCACTTTTTGTACATTAAGGTCAAATTTCACAATTTTCATACTGTTATTTTGGAATAGTGTATTAATTTTTCTTGGATATATTTTTGATTTTTTACAGAACATCAAACTGATTTGTTGGAAAGTGAAAGTGATTTATATTTGATAAAATTATCATAACCATCGTCAATCAAGAGTACTGAAAAGTATTGAATGCCAAGGGGAAAGAATCACAATCATTGGTTTCTTTTGTTTTCATAGATAACTTATTTGCTTCTTTATTTCAGGTTGTTAAATACAACACAAAATGCAAAAAAAACTATGATACTTGGCACTTCTCACCAAGGACTTCTTTGTCCTCGCTACATCCTCTCCAACCTCTATTGTGACTCCACGCAACTTGTGATTGTCGTATTCCACTACAGATAGGTTTTCAGTCCGGAATATGAACCACTGTCCATGCAACTGCGGTGTAAAGAAATTATTTAGGTCCACGGTAGCCCTAATAAGATTGAATAAGCCAAAGCCTATATAAAGATTCAAATGAAAAATTTTTGTTTAGCCCAGTCTTTGCTTTAGGTTTTTCTGAAACTAGTAAGATGGCATTGTCAATCATTTTTTTATTGATGAAAATCATCAATATGCTTGCGTCTTTAAATTCATTGTCAATTAACCACAATATTGCATGTCATTTGATTTGTGAGTAATGCAAAAGTGTCCTACTAATGCGTTCATCGATTGTAACCAGAAATCGAACAATTATCGCTATAAGTGTTTTTTTTTTGTAAACACCTACAGACCACAAAAAGTGATCACTTATTTCTGGAGCAAGGTATTTAGATTTCAATTTGCATCTCTACATCTTGCAATTAGGATTTAATTAACAAGTCTGTATGGTATTGCAAAGTTTAAACAAAATGCTGATTGTTCCTCTGAATTCTAAATCATTGATCTTTTCAGTTTTCAACCAGCTGAAGAAAATGTCTGGAAATGGTGGTAAATGGACTTGTGAATATTGTACCTACATGAACTGGCTTAGTTCTATGCATTGTACCTTGTGCCATGCACTTCGACCAGTCCAGTGGATTACACCCACAACTCAAGCATCTTTGGTTTCTATGTCTCAACAAGAGACGAGCAGCCTACCTCGTTCACTCGCTCAGTGGCCTTGCAGGGCTTGCACATTTCTTAACCGGCCACATTTGACAAAATGCACAACATGTTACACGCCCAGAGGCTCACTAGCTTCTGTTGTCGACAAAAACAATCGTGCCATTTCCAGATCTACCATCAACAGGGTCACGGAAACATGCCAACCCTCAAATAATGAACGAAACAGAGCAAGTAGTCTGGCCACCAAGAAGTGGTCTTGCCATGCATGCACATATGAAAACTGGCCTAAGGCAAAAATGTGCATTCTGTGTCACCATCCTCGCCCGAGGTTACCTGTCGAGACCAAAGTCAGTGCCCTTTCTGTTTCACGTGGTTCTCCACCAGATTCCCCTCCGAGAAGCCCTGATGGCAATATAGAGTTCCAACAAGTGGGGGCAGCAGCCGCAGCACCTCCGCCTATGAGTAATATTGAACACGAAAAACGGGTCAAGCAAATTCGTAGACGTTTGCGCAAGTCTGACTGGTTGTTCTTAAATGCGTGTGTTGGTGTTGTAGACGGTGACACACAGCCAGTTGAAGCCTACCTCAGCTCAGGCGGGGATCCTACCCGCCAGCTCACTCATGATGAAACTCTGTTTTTGAATAGGCCTAGTGCATTTGATGCTGGCCTAACGTTAGTTCACCTTGCCATACGATTTCAAAGGGAAGATCTTTTAGCTGTACTTCTTACAACAGATGTTTCGAGTCATGTTGTCAAACGCCCACCATCTCAAGTGTGCCCAGATTTAGCAGCTTGTATACGCAAAGAAATTGCTTCAAATTTGCGGCAACGAAAAGGGGATTTCCCTTGCTACTTTGCAACAGACATTGTAACATTCACCCTCCCTGGAGGTAAGAACACTTTCATCATTTTTTTTTTTTCATTCAAAGTTTTTTACACTCCCAACTTTTCTGTCAGTGCTGTATTAAAAGTGTTCAACGGAGAAAACTAAAGTATAGTGCACCTCAATTCGAAACCCCCCTAATTTGAGACCACTTTTTAAATAACCAAACTAAATCTTCAAACCTTTATAACAAACCTAACCCTCTAAGTGGAAACTGATCAGAACCCCAAGACCACCCCAAATTTTCCTGTCAAAGGTGGTCTCGAATTGGAGGGCAAACTGTACTTTCCTTCAACACTGCTTGGTTTTGTGTTGTTAGGCAAAAAAAAAAATTATTGTGTTGGCCATGCCCGACCGACCCAAATTTCTTAGCTAGCCTAGAAATCGTAGTGTAGTTCGTGGGTCGAAGGCTATTACGCATACCTAAATAGGCCGTAGATATGCAGGGGCCTGGGCCTAAACATTTGTCGAAAAATCTTACATTCCCTTGAACAAGAAGTAACATACATAAAGTTTGTGTGGTGAATTTTGGGACATCAGCAATCGGCTTTCTTAGAGCAACTTTTTAAATCATGTTCAAAAGAAGAAATACAGCAATTATGATGATCTTTACAGCAATAACAAGGGACAACCGACATAGCAATCTCCGCTGTGCCAGTCCATTGTTTACATCCAACACCCAAGTGAGGTCACGTGACGCCCATCACCGAAGCGGTCTATTGTATCAATGGTTGGTCAGTGTACTTGCAGTTGCTCAAGTGCACCTATAGAGATAATGCCTTATTTGACAGTGTCAGTGATAATGATATAATAAGCATTTTAAGTGGATAAATAAAAATTAATTTGATTCGCCTTTTAAAAACAGAAATTGAAGAATTGCCAGTTTCAACTAGGAATCAGTTAATGGATGAACTTCTTGATGGTGATGTACAAAAAGGTATGTATCAAAGAATTCATTTGTTTACTGAGAACATAGCTTTTCCTACCTGTCTGCGGTGGGAAAAAACAGTGTCGTAATAGCTATGAGTTTTCACTGGTTAAAGCTAGGACCCCAGACCTTAAGAATATTCATCAGCATTTTGTAGTCCAAAATTGGCTGGTACCTATTAAAGAGCAGAATGTTTAAATAATATTTTTTAATTATTCATCCAACAAAATAATTCATTATCAAATTCCCTAAACTGTAAAGTAAAAGATGAATGCAAGCAAAAGGGAAGGGTGAATTTAAATTCCCTTGTATTGAATCTGATTTGTTAAACCTGCACCATTTATGCAAACTCCATGTAGACTGCGATGGGAATTCAAGTTGAGACCAGATCTCTTTGGATAATCTGAAACATGTGGCAGTTATGTAACACTGAGAGAATATAAAATATTGGGATTTATTACTAAATACACAAATGGCGATGTGTGAAGTAGCCTGCTGTCAGAATGTTTAAATTATTGCTTTTTCTGAATTCAGAGTTGGAACAAGAGTCAACAATCATAAATTGGAGTCTGGAAATCACAGATAGATTAGGGAGTCGTCTGTATGCTCTCTGGAACCGTACTGCTGGTGATTGTCTGTTAGACTCAGCTCTGCAGGCAACATGGGGAGTGTTCGATGCTGACTGCGTCTTGCGGAGAGCACTAGGAGAGAGTTTGCGAGACTGTTCAATGAAGTAAGTTATGATTTTATAAGGAAACTCTGAGAGACAATGAACGGATTAAAATACTTTATATTTCGTTGTTGGTTTGGCCAAAGAGTATAGAATTACCAGGGGGCCGAATGCAGGCAATAGAAAAAAGTACTACCAGGAGATAGGGGGCGCCCTATTTACAAACACCTTTTACCTTTTGAAGGGTGTCCTCCAGTTTGTGGTAATACTTTTTTTTAGATAGGTTTCGTTCCAATAAAACCCTGAGAGTCGGATCTGTTGCAGTTCTTTACTCTCTGGTTTGGCGAATCAAAACTTAGTTTGGCTAATCATTTTCATTCCAAATTAGCCAAATTTTGCCAGTTTCAACTCTGAAATCCCAATTAAGGTTGTTGTTTCATGCGCAGTTTTTTTGATAAGTATTATAACGGGTTGTTGTTAATTTAGATTTTTCTTTTCTTTTTAATGTTTTTAAATTGTAAATCCGTTGTTGTGTATCAATTTTCAATGAATTTTATGTTCCTTGTTCTTGTTTTATCTGTTAATTACTTGCTTTAATTTTCACATTTTATTGTTGATATATTTTAAATCTTTGATGAATTATGTTTTTCTTGTAATTGTTTGCATTTATATTTTTAAAATAAAGATTTTCCATGTTTTTCTGTAATTAATTTAATTTTAGAACTTTTTGTGAATTTCATGCAATTTAATTGTATGGTTGCAATTTCAAATTGTTTTTTAATAAAGAAAAAATGAAAATTGATAATTGATATAATTAATCCCACTCTTCTAGGTTTTATGCCCGTTGGAAGGAGTATGAGTCGATGCAGGTAGAGAGCATGCACTTTTCCCTTGACGAGGATCAATGGTTACATGATTGGGCTTTGATGCTGAGCCGCGCCGGTCAACCTGGGGCGGCATTAGAACAGACCCACATCTTCGTTCTTGCTCACATCTTGCGTAGGCCGATTATTGTTTATGGTGTAAAATTCATTAAGAGCTTCCGAGGTGAAAATTTAGGTTTTGCAAGATTTCAAGGTGATTATGAATCCTTAATCAAATTTGTATCCTTATGATCATCTTAAATGTCTTAACACATTGACTGCCAATGCCATGCAATTTTCCCTATTTGTTACCCCATTTCCATATCACGTTTAGAGAGTGTGAGGGCACCATCATATGTATCATATTCATTACCTGTGGGAATATACACAAACAAACATATGAAGATTATCGCTTACGTATATCATTCATAAACTGTCAGTGCGAGAGTTTGTGTTCCTACCACTACTGCCGGTGATTCTACGTACAATATAAAAGTGTCATGTTTTTGATGTGTTAATACATCATGGTGGCCAGTGCAACACCATGTACGATGTATAATTACGTGCCCGACAGCCAACAGCCCAAATACTTTTGAATAATATATACATGTATGCCAAATTTCATTTGCTGTTTTTCCAACAATAAATTTCCTTTAACAATCATATCTAGTTGAACTTGTCTCTTCTATGTTCCATCTCATTTTCATTGATATACTGTAGCACTGCCTTTTTAAAATTATTATTATTTAGGCACGTAAGTCAAGAATTGGCAATAGTGAACTTAGTTGCTGTCCTATGCTTTGCATATTCAAAATGTTTGTACAAATTGTAATTACATATTTTATTTTCATGGTAGTCAGAAAAGCTAGTCTTCTGTCTCTATGTTTGTTTAATTTATAAATATATGAATAATGATAGAATGTAGCTCAAAACATTTACAAAACTGAAATAGTATGAATATTTGGCAAACACAAAAAAAAACATAGCACATTGTATTTTACTACTACTTCTGTTTTGCTTGTATAAACAGGTGTATACCTACCTCTGCTATGGGAGCCTAGTTTCTGCTCGAAGAACCCTATAGCACTTGCTTACACACGTGGACATTTCTCAGCCCTTGTTGCAATGGAAATAGAGAATGACGATAACATAGGTGCTGGAGCTAACATTGATGCTGATGATGATGCATGGACAGTCTGTCTACCGTTGACTGATAGTGAAGGCAAAATTCTACCTGTTCACTTCATATCATCTCTGCAAGTAAGTTCATTTACCATCGACTTTGAATCTATTTGTCATTGTCCACACTATTCAGTTTTTTGTGACAAATACTTGTTGTCTGCCCATGTGACTGGCAAAACCCCCTCCGTTTGTCGCAATTTATAATTTCTAAAAAGCACCCAAAACGTTGCAGAATCAGAATTTTAAACATTTTCATGTTTTTGCATTTTTTTAAAGTAGGTATGTTTCTGCAAAATATGAATCACTTAATCTAACTAAAAAGTATATTAATATTATTTTGAAAATACAAATCTTAATAATAAACTATGGATTTTGAAATCTTTGGAAGCTGTTTTCTCAAAACCTACATTGCTGATATCCAATGAATTAAATATTAATACTCAACCAGTTTCCATAAAATAAGCACTGTATTAAAGAAGAATAATTCATGCAGAATCTAAAAACACTAAAAACTCAATTTTTTGAATTTTTGGTACAAACGGCATGTTTTGCCATAGCCAGTCATATATGTCATACCTTACCAATATAGAGTACCACAGTCGTATCGTCACAACACCAGGTGGCACCCTCTGGACGTTCGTTACCATTCATTACGCCTGAATAACTTCATAATCTTAATGTTTAGAATAGGCTTTCTGCATTTTAAAACCTAATAATTTACCATCAAAATGTACTAAAAACACAAAAAGCTTGCATTATATTAGTTATCGAACTCACATTTAATCATCAATTAACATTTACAAAGAAAAATTAAGATACTACTTCTTAATAATTACATTAGAAATTGGGATCAATGGTTCGTCAGTGGAGAAAATGGCGTCGGTTGAACGCATTTTGTGTCGCCGATAGCAACGAAGTAGTATGTGGTATCGTAAAGTAACACTGTAGTACTCTATATGGACAAATTGTGTGATTGTCAATTAAACCTTGATAGCTTAAACAAATTTTTATAAATATGCTAAGTCAGTGAATGTTTTATTTTGAAGACCTCTCTAATTAAGGACCACTTTTCTGTGGTCCCATATTCACAAATGCCTTTTATCTGTATTATTCCAAACTCAACCAAGACTAAAGCTGCTAAAAAAAAATTGAAAACCCTAGTCCCAAAAGTGGCTTTTTATTGGAAGGAGACTATTTCCTTTTAATTAATAAGGTATTCTTACTTTGTTTGGTGTAAATAGTTTGCCCGATTATGTAAACCAGTGAAATTTCATCTGAATATTTTCTTCCCAAGATATAATTCTGTAAACCAGGCACAACATATTCAGAATAGATAAGTGGGAGTGCTTATTTCAATATATGCCTTGAAATTTTAAAATTTAGTGGCAAAACGGGGTGGGGCATCCTCCCACTGGATCCGCCCCTGCTCTCAGACTTTTCTTTGTTCTCCATTTTTTTTAAATAATTTAAAAAAATTTAGGGGACCCGGGCTGGCTACCTGACCCCTGAATCTGCCACTGCACATAGTGATACCCATTGGCACTGACTTCATGAGACAATTGGTAATAAAGCAGTGAAAACATGTTTCCGGGACACTTCTGCAAGTTTTGGAACTTGGGACCCCGGCCAGAGGCAGATCCAGTGGTGGGGGGGGGGGAGCACGTGCTCCCCCGCATTTTCTCAATTAACCCTACCAGGTATCCACTTATACTCTTGTGTGGAGAGAAGAAATGCAGAAAAAGTGCCTTGCTCAAGGACACAAGTGATATGCACAGCGAGGTGTTGAAACCCTAACCTCAAGGCTGGGAAACCAAACTTATTCTCACTACGCCAAACCACAATTTACTAGTAATCTTAATACCATATAAGTTTAATTTTCATTGTTATTTTTGTCAATACTACTTCAGTACTACAAATGATTAACTTTCTATTCCTTTAAAAAAAATTTCATTTAGGTTGGAACAGAAGAGAAACTTCTTCGTGATTGGCTTGATTGTCGTATGACCTGCGGTGGAAGCCTTGTTGCGCAACAGACCCAACCACGCCGTCTCCCTGTCATCATTGGCCAAATGATTGAGGAATGGTTACAGAAGTACCGGCATGCTAGCCCACACTGTAACTGACAACCGATCAACCAAGTACTTTTGTGGCGATCAAACATAAACACAGGCAAAAGACAACATTTTGTAATAGTACTGTAAGGGGCTGGTTGTACTGATTAGAGAATTTTCAAATTAATAATGCTTTCAAGAGGAAAAAAGAAGCTACACTATAAGTTTTATAAAAAAAAAATATAGATAATATGTAGCAAAATTTTGAAGTTCGACTTTGTATATTACCCCTTTCATCCTACCAAGTTCAAAAATATATTCTTTCACATTTCACACACACAGATTTTTAAGATTGAAATGTTTGCACTATATAACACCTGTATTCGAGCTCGAAGTAGGATTTAGAAATGTTGTCATTTAATATTCATAAAACTTTTTTATAGGAAAATGTGCATCCTCACTGAATTGCTAAAAAAAAAAATGTCAAAATTTTGCATGCATTTCTAATATCGCTGACAAAATATTTTAAATAAGCAAACAACATATTTGGGGCTTGCCATGCCGAAACTGGCATCAGCGACAAAAACATGAAAATTGGCTTTTTAATATATTCATATTAAGCTTTAAAATTATGGGCTATTTACTGCAATCTATGTACTATTGCCGAAGTTAAGAGTAAAAGTATTACGGCTTCTCTGAACTAAAGTATATAATATATTGCCACAGTTTTATGCTAATTACTCCTAGTTTAACAATTAGTGACAGTACGCTTGTTGTGGATGGCAAGCCTCATTTGTTTACCTCAATCTTTAGAGTACAAACGCTAGCATTGTGTGCTTTTAATCACCTGAGAGACAACCAACTCAACATATATTTCAACAAAATTCAACAAGGATGGTATATTTTAATACCAAATTTAATCTGAGCAATTAAATCTCACAAAGCTAATGTTTGTAGACAGCAGTCCATTAGTAATTCGACAGTGGAAAGTTAATTTTTTTTGGTGAGAATTGGTGTGGACTTTATCAACTAATGTTAACTGTTTGCTTACAGCCCGTTTTATATCACATGGACGTACGGTTTTTACAGTACATTAGTCCAGTGTTCCAGTCTTAGAAGAACTCATTGAATATTTGAAGAATGAAGTATCACCTCATAACAACTGGTTTTTTGCTGATCATCATTATAATTGTCGCACATTAAATGCAAAGTCTCATGCAAGGTCATTGGAAATCTAAGAATAATTTTTTTAATTCGATGTTCCAATCCTCATATATTATTATTCTACAAAGGAGGCCATATTTTTTGCTAGGGTGTAATCCCAGAACCCTTAAGTCATAGCTTCACCCTTGCGGTGTGTCTGGAGCAATTTATTCAAGTGTGCAATCAATTAACCTATAAATTCTATCCCATTAATCATGGTTTGCATTTAAGGATAAAGTTTTTTTGTACTTCTAGCTGATAATTAATGAGTTCATGCCCACTTGAACACACAATTAGGAGTTAGGCTAACCTGCATCGCTGTGGTATTTAAAAAATTGAAAATATGATTTAAATGTAACGGTGAAGTGAAATAGCAGTGTGTTTAAGTAAAAATATTTAGTGTGTGTCTCCACAAAATGCTGCTAATCATGTAAACATCCAGATTTTTAAATCTTTTAATTGGCTGTTGTGGGTTGTGATAGTCCCACAGAGTAATACCTTGCTATTACCAACTATTATAGACACTAATAATTATTTTGAACTCAACACATTTATGTTTTGAAAATGTGCACCAAAATCATTGAACAGGTAATTAAATGAAGCTTTATTTTTCAACTATATCTCAATCAGTTTTTGGTGACGCTTATATAATCAGAACTAAACAACATTACTCATTACTGTCGCTTCATATTGGTATTATATGGTTCTTGTGCTTTGATTTGGTACTCACAAACACAAGCCTTTATATCTTTTCCAAAAGCATTTTTGATGTCCGCAGTATATTAATCGGACTGTTTTCATTCGCATATGTATTATTTTTTATTCACATTATTATTAGGCCTATTATTATTAAATTTTTTTATTACTTTTATTTTTAAATATTATTATTAATACTTTTATCATTTTATTACGAATAATATTGTTATTATTATAGCTATTGTTATTCTTGCACAATGAATGCAGTGATTGCATAATGCGTGAATGCATAATTGAATGCTTATAGTGTGGTGAATGCATATTGCGTCATAAATGCACATTACTAAAATTAAAATTGTGTACAGTGAATGCATTATTGAGCCACAAATTCATATTGTGCCAATAAATTACGCGGTAAATGCCTATTGCACCATAAATACATAGACACCGTGAATACATATTGTGCCATGATTCCAAGTGTTAGTGGTTATGTTGCATAGTTTTGTATTTTTAATCAAATTATTTGTTTCTTTTGGATAATTATCTGATAAGAGTGGAAGCCAGTAATTCGTATTGAGATGCTGTGTGATTGAATGCTGACTTTTGTCCGTATTTTCAAAATGTCGTGTTTTGTAGAGATTGTTTTTTATGTGTAGCGATAAAAACCAATATTTGTGTCAATGGGCTTATAAATGAAGATTTCTATCAAAATGTTTATGACTTATAAATATATGAATATTTTAAGACCCATTTACTAGTAGTATTTTTTACAAGATGAGAGCGATAATTTTGCATGTATAATGTACGTATATGAGAGGAGAGAGGTTTAATTTGGGTGCATACTATATCATCACAGTATGCATCATTGCATATACTGTATACTTTGAAATAATGGTTCAAAGTCAAGCGTTTATTAATCCTTCAGTGGAAGGGAACTATGAGCTCGCATTAAAATTTAAAAAAGTAATACAGATACAACTCAATAAAAAAGCAAATTATAAAGATTAGTTGTCAGATATTTTGCTAATGTGTCAGAAATCATGATAAAATGATATAGTTATAAAGAGAGTAAATGTTATTACTGAAACAGGGTCAGAAGGATTTAATTATATACAGTTTTTGTCAACATTTCTTCTCGTGTTGAGCATCTGTGTTAATTATCTTTTTTCCCTCTGATATACAGTAGTATGAGAGATACATATTTTAATAATGAACATTTTAAGATTATATTTAATTTTTTTTTAGCTGACTCTTAGTTTTAATGTTCATCTTTTAACAACCAGGGTTACTTTATTTTGTTTTTTGTAAGCACTTTGTTTTTATTTTAAACAGTAGAGAATTATATCCTTAAGTTTTTGAATTTGATCCATCATCTCACTAAAGATATACACTGAGCTAATAAACAATAAAATTCAATTGAATTTGTATTATGTATCAAGTATAAAGAGCTACAGGTGTTTTTATATCCTAGACCCTGAGATTGGCTAGTATGTCGCATTTTTGTAGTGTATCATTCTTAGTAGAGGTTTATTAATTAATTAAATTATTTTATGGGTTTCCAGACTCTATCACACTGTGGATCCTCAACAAATACAAAGTTTATGTTAATTATGCACAGATTACTGAATACTTCAGTAACTCTGATTTATATAATTTGAAGAAAATGTAAAACTAAATGCAAACCCATGTCAGTCAGAATCAAAGATGTTGGGTTAATATTCCATTACCCAATAATACTTAATCCCTCAAAGTCTGTCCACACTATCAAATTTTGTGTGATAATTTTTTTGTGACAAATGTTTGTGTGACAAATGTTTGTTGTGACAAATGTTTGTGTGACAAATGTTTGTTGTGACGAATGTTTGTGTGACAAATGTTTGTGTGACAAATGCTTGTGTGATAAATGTTTGTGACAAATTTGTATGATGTGCCCATATATGACTATTATGATGTCATATCACACGCAAATATGGGCATGTCACATTTTTTTTGTCACAAAAGTGTGGACAGAGCTTTATTTACTAATATTTGTGACCTATTTTCTTTCTATATATTATATTATAGTCTTATGTCACTATTTTATTGCACTAAACTAAAACCTTTATATATCTATACATCATGCTATGCTGTTTTTTTTTTTTTCTTTTTTCTTTTTTCCTCATTTTCAATTTTAAAACAACAATTTTTTAACAATTTGTGGATGGTTTCTGCCTAAGAAATACTTGAAATCGTAAACTTTGAAGGCTGATTTCTCAAATATTGTTCTTTAAACATCTGTATGACTCCTGTAACTTTATAACAAAATGTTGGATTTAACTTATTCTTTTACCATTTTATAGCTCTCATTTTACTGTTAAACCCTGTATTAATAACTAAAAATAAATCTTTGCGACAAGTGACTGGTTTGGCTTGTCTTTGCCACATATGATATGATGTTAATAACAGGAGTAACTGATTTGTATGAAAGTACTCTAAAGACACTAATCATGTATGGCATTCACTTTTACTGTTTTATAGTTCTTGCTTTACTGTTAAACCCTGATTAATAACTAAAAATCGATTTTTGCGACAAGTAACTGGTTTGGCTTGTCTTTGCCACATATGATATGATGTTAATTACGAGAGTAACTGATTACAAAAAGATTTATACGAAAAGTACTCTAAAAACACTTATCATGTATGGCATCCACTTGTTATATTAGCAATTATCTGTATGTATTTCTTTTACTTTTGTACGCATTAATTAAAATAAGTTTGTGATCAGTTATCATTGTTTCAAAAAGCATGTGTGTTTTATCTAAGAACAAAGTGTTCAACAGTTTTCAATACCTTATATTATATATATATATATATAAAAATATATATATAATATAAGGTATATTATTAAAAATGGTGCAAGCTTTCCTGAAAACCAACAGAATTTTTCTGTTAAACGTATTTAAGGTTTGTTTATGCTTGAGTGATTTTTAGGTGTTGATTGTGTGTGGCCCTGTATGATATATCATTTCTGATTGAATAGTTAATTGATTTAACCAAGTATTCATTTCATGTACAAGCCTAATTTGTGAAGTTTTTAAATGGTTACCCAATTTTACTTGGTGTGTATTTGAGAATAACAGTTTGATCAAGGTATGATAGTAAATATGTCCCTATTTATTTGTGATTTACAAATTTTATTTGATTGTATTTGTGACAAAATCAGATGTTTAAGTCAGAAGGTTGCCAAATAGGGAGTAAGGAAAACGATTGTCACTTATGATGAATATTGGTAAAAATTGGTTCAGATAATTACCGGCACTTAATTAAAAGTTTACTAGTCTGTTTTAATTGGATCTGTAACTCATTAGTTTGGCAATATTTATAGTTATAGAATTAACATAATTTGCACTTGTTTACTTTGATTCAGTAACTGCAATACATGAGAGTAGTAGTAATACAGTTAATTAAATCGCCACAAACCTGAAAAGGTGGGGTTGATATCTATTTATCTTTCAAGTATTAATATATTTTAAAAATTATTTTTAAACATGCTTTGATTTAATGAGTTACATAATTCTATCAAAAACTTTTTTCTCCCTATACATTAGTGCATAATAACATAGTTTCTGTGCACACGTTTTCCTGGTCGCAGTACAGATTTATGTTGAACACAACTCTAATACAGTACGTCCCAGGGGAGTGTTGCTAGACGTACTTTTAATTAACCACACACCAATGTCATTCCATCACTTTCTCCCAAGTACTGATTTGTACTCAGTGGCACATCTAGGGAGGTGGGGGAGCACGTTCCCCTAAAAAAAATCCTCCCCAGTAGGGGGTCCCCATTGAAAATGTTTGAAGCCAAAATATCGTGTCGAAGTCGATAAAAAACACCTTTTTTTCTAATCATTGATCCCCCACACCAACTTTTTGGGCCTTCCCCGCTATTTTAAGACTTCAGGATCAGTGGCGGCTCTAGGATATAATTTATGGGGCAGGGGGGTGGTGGCTTAGATGTCCGACTGGATTGCGCAGCTTTATCTGAGGGCCGAAGGTGGGTATGGGAGGGGTGTCCCCTCCTCCCAAAACAAGATTTAAAAAAAAAAATTGGGACTTCTAGATGGCTGGAAATGGCTGAGATGGGAAAACTAGGCCATTTTTTTTTTTTTTTTTTTGGTCCCACTGCCCGACGAGCTTTGGTCGATAGGGGGGGGGGCTTGACCCCTGCCCCCGCTGGTGCCGCCACTGTTTATGCTTCATTTACTTGCGTAAGGACAAGCCATAACATGTAGGTGTAATGACTATCAAATTTGATAGCTGTGTGTAACGTGGTGTTGCACAGTTATCAAATCACGTCCTAGGCACAATATTAACAATGAATATTATTTGAAATTATAAAGAAATGATTATTTGTTAATAAGGAAATTATCCCATCTTCTTTTCATGATTGACTATCTAACTGATTGTTGTGTGTTCAATTCAATTTATTTAACTTGTAAATCATGAAAAAATTACCAATTAAATGACATGAAAGCAAAGCTCAACCAGATGAAAAGTATTAGATTACTTATTGTTTGCTTTTAGGTCTTGATGTAGAAAGCTGGTTGTTATTGCCTTGTATTGTTCCTAATAAACACTCGATATTGGTAAAAAAAAACTATAACATTTAAATAGACCTCTCAGAATGTCAATCAAACATTAGAAACAGACCTACCAGAACAAGGCTGGGAATATGTGCATGCCCCAAAAATGCATATGTTTGCGTACATTTATGCTATTGTTTTGTGTGACCTAAGCATCAATATCGAAGGGGTGGGACTTAATGGAAAGGTCCATTAAAATACACCTAACTTTGGTGTGAAAAAAAGGCCTTTTGCATTTAAAAGATGTGCTGTCTGTGGTGAGCTCTGTGTACACTGCTAGTTTTATGTTACAAACATTTTGATGTCATATCACACCCTCAAACCACAGATATTTGTCATTTAAATTTGATAGTGTTGACGCAGCTTTAAATTCTACGTTACGGTACTGTAATAGCTTTCTGTATAATATAGTATTAGAACTTTAATGAAAAGATATTTATGTAAGCTATCAGCTTCAAATTGAAAATTAGAATGAGAAAATAGATGCATACCACAAATAATATCGTCATTCCTATTACTACTTTAATCATGTCTGGCAGTGAATCAGCAATTCATTTTTTTTTTTTTATTTGCTTGGAAATTTCTAACTTGATTATTTAAATTAGCAATCCGGTATTTTAAGTGAATGTCCACGCTATCAAATGTTATATGACAAATTTGTGTGATGTCCCCATATATGGGTATGATGATGTCATATTACACCCAAAAATGGGCGTATCACAAAAAAGTGTGATAGTGTGGACAAGACTTGAGCACAGACAGTATACTTTTACACAAGAAACTTGTGACACAAAATTGTCAATAACTTGTTATGTGAATAGACTTAAGCTTTGTCCGCACTATAATAGGGAGCTTTCGATTTGTGCGACAACGCGACGCTAGAACAGAATCACTCATGCGTGACCCTCCTATCTGCCGTCTACGTTCTCTGCGTAGATTTGGCCAAATTGCGTTCCAGAATCTACTAGACGAGGTGACCTTAACGTTCTCGCATGCGCAGATGGCTTTTACTGACGTGATTACGTTCTACGTCCTACCGTCGTCGTGCAATCGAAAGCTTCCTAATGTTTTATGTGAAAAACAGCTGTGATATGACAATATCATGCCCATATATAATGGAGAAACTTAGTAGTGTTGTTGACTGCATTAGTCTATTAGAAGTGACCATAGATATAGTTGTTTACACACTTGACTATTACTTGAGGTTGTTTTTAATGTGCTGGATTGGTTTTTTTAACCTCTTGCATTTCTAACTATGGAACTGTGAAACAGTGGGGTGTTGTTTGTTACCATGCAGATATTCAATAAAAAGAAACAAGATTCAAATTAACCTGCTGGTGGTATATAAATTCTTGAGTTTTGGAAATAAGATATGATATAATATATCTATCATTTATTTTTCCAATAGTTTACGAATACAGTACAGTCAGAAAATTCAAGCAAATCTGCATGAAAAATACACACAAAAGGTCTTTCACATCACAAAGCCAAATAAAACAAACTATTTTACAAATATTAATACTTCAATAGACTACAGTTTGCAATCATTTATTTTTTTCAATAGTTTACGAATACAGTACAGTCAGAAAATTCTGCACGTAAAATACACAAAAGCCTTTCACATCACAAAGCCAAATGAAATATATTATTTCACAAAAAATAAATTACTTCAATAACTTCGCATTGCTTGGCCTCCAATTCAAGGCTACATTACAGACTTGGGGTGGTCTACTCCTTTAGCAGGGGTCCCAAATTGGAAGAAGTCCCTTCTGTGAGATCTGGTTAACTAAACTAATTCCTCCATGGTTAAATGAGCCTTAACATATTTAATTTTGTCTTGCTGCTGTGCATGGTGTGGATACCCATCGGCACTGACTTCTGTGAGACAATTGATGACATGAATTTGCACTTCTGTGAGACAATGATAAAATGTATTTGCAGGAGATGGGTTTTATTTTCCGGAAGATTCTTGCCAAGTGCAGGAGGCCATCCTGATTTCTGTGAGACTAGTTCCACAACTTCTGGGAGACTTGGAACCCCTGCATTTACCAGCGACGAGTAGCAGTCGTGTAAAAATGTATCAAAAAAGATAAACAAATACAGTAAAATGTGCCAGATAAACTTGGATATCGTTCTTTTGTTTTAATTAAAAATATAATAATAATTTTAAGCATTAGAGGATTGTATTGTTAATGGTGTGATGGAGTGGCTATGTAGAAAAGATCTTATAATAATGTCTACAATATCATAGTTTAACGTGGTTAATCTCGACCCGGCATTTGCTTTATTGAATAAAATGAAATGCAAAAAACAACAAACATTTCCTTATCTTATTATGAATTTCACTGAATATAATCATGAAAATTTTATCTTATAATTGTTAATTGCTTTTTATGACTACAGTATTTTTTATTCTGAATTTTGCTAAAATTTTTAAAAATCCAAAATCAAAAACACTACTATTCAATTCAATTTAATTCAAGGTAATCTTTATTGCACTTTGTACAAAAAAGGAAGTTTAACAATCAAAATCAGAAAGACGTAAACAAAATAAATATCAGACAAAAATTTAATTAACAATTCTAAATAATCTTAATAATTTATGAAAAATGTCAAAAAGGTAAAATTCAGAAAAATTTTATATACAATTAGGTAATTATTAACTATTTCCTTTCTAGTCTGTTATCCTAACTTTTGATTACTTTTGTTGTTGTTGTTTGGCAATTGTTATACAAGAAACAACCGAAAAAATTGTGTAAAATACCTTGGACTAATGTCGTCTGCTTCTTTCTGCTCATAATTGACATTGAACCAATCACAGTTTACGTCAGTTAAATACTTGCCACATGATTTTTTATATCCAATGGCGTTCTTTCTTCTTCGAGTTGTTGTCTTGCAAGTCAATATGGCGCGAGCCAATACACACTATTGAGGCGTCAAAACATCAACATTTCCTGACGAAACGAGTGTGTTCTTCCCGTAGTAAGTGGACATAGAGCTAATGTTTCTACTTGTAATTATGTTATGAACATTTCAGGTAAGAATATATATAATAATAATGTGCTTATATGTGTATATAAGGTGATAAAAAATGCTCATCAGCCTTTTTATTTTGATGATAATCATTTTCTGATAGACCTAGGCTTAGCCTAGGGCCAGCCTAACTAAGAGGCCTACTGTAGGTACCTAGGCCCCTAGGTAGGATGCCTGCCCTAGCTAGGCTAGGAGGCCTAGGGCCTAGCTAGCCCCTAGGCCTACACAGGCTGTCTAAGCCTTCGCTTGGGCATGAAGCCAGAATAGTTTTAGGCCAGGTTGCTAATGCACTTTTTTAGCCCTAAACCTAGCCTAACCTTTAACATTATTAATAATAATAGCAAGACTGCAGTTGAAGCTAGGTTAGCCTTCCCTTAGGCCTAGGGTTAGGGTGGAGTACTAAAAGTGCATTACCGCCTAGGCCAGTCCTACCTAGCCTTGATTCCTAGTCCTGTATTGCATTTGCAAGAGTAATAATGGGTGGGGGGGGGGCCAGGGCACAGTGCGCGGTGGCAGCAATGGTGGCACCAGCGAATACAGATCATTTCGTTCGCGCCTGCATTTCGGTCGTGCCCTATTGTTATGCATTTCGGTCGCGGTTCACAGCCGCGGTATGGAACGCCGATGTACAACCTACAGCTTATTGCAATGTTTTTCGAAAGTAAATTCGGTAGGAAGCAGGTCAACTCGGCCACAAGTCAACTCGGCCACAGTCAACTCGGCCACAAGTCAAATCGGCCACAAATTGACTCGGCTTTGGAAACCCGCCCTTGGAAACTTGCCCCATAAAAAAATGTACACTTCCTAGACCATGCAGTCTTCAAAATAAAAATTGTAGCCTTTGGTAATCAACTACATTTTCCACATACATAGAAATTTTTAAAACTTTATTAAAAAAACCTAAACCATAATTCACCACTATTATAGACACTTTTTGACAAAAACGAAAAATTACGACTTTGTTACCCAATGAGAAGTGTTCTAATATAGACAATGGGTCGTGTTTCATATTATTTGTTATATTTTTATTATTCATTATTTTCACTTGACTTGCATAAATAGTTTTGTTCGCAGCACTTCACTTGCAACTTGCAATTTCTAGTTTATAATTAAAATGAAATGTAAATATTCCAGTTTCTGCATCCTTTTTCTTCAATATGATTTTTAAAATGAAGTACACAGTATATTTTAGTAAAATTCTGACCATTGTCTCATCGTCGTGAGATCGTTGTATACATTTCTTCACACTGTACTCTTATTCAACAGAGAAAACCCGCCACTTACAGAATGGAATAAAATCTGACAATTGTAACATTAACAATTTAAGCAATAAATAATTAAGAAAAACACATATATTAATGTTTAATTTTGTTCACGTTAAAACACTGACATAAAACATGAGTACATACTGTAGCAGGGGTTTATTTATGAATTTGAGTAGCAGGAGAAATTTGAAAATTTGAAACAGGAGAGTTAATTAAAAAAGGCAGGGGTATAGGGGGCCACCTAGGCCCCCATTAGGGTCCAGGGGCAGAGCCCTGGTGGGGGTATCAGAGTCAGTATCCGGGGTTTTAGAGTTTTTTAAGCTCATTTGATGGCATTTCTCTACATCATTTTAAAAAAAAACCAGTTTTTCAAAATCAACTACTGAGCTGTAAAAAGTTGATATTTTTACATATTCTTCATAGGCCTAGTCTTAGCCTAGATGCTGTAAAACCAGAATTGATTGATTTCGGCCCTTTTCGCGACATTAAACTTTCGCGAATCGCAAAAGGCCTAAATTTTATTCATGTGAGGAATATTATACAATAGCTGAAAATATTGTATCGTAACTGTGTAGGCTACAGTAGCTAGGCCTAGGCTAGGCGCCATAAGCCTGCCGCCTACCTCAGCTGCTAGGACCAGGACTTAGCTGGCTATCCCAGGCACAGATAAGAGACAAGTTTTACACACATACAGTACTCACTTATATGATATTCCTAAATTTTGTATGGTATTCAAGTATCCTACAAAATGAACAATGTTTTTCAATGTTTTATTAACAAATTATTTTCCTGTAGGCCTAATATTGATTCAAACACATTGATAATGATGACTGAAGATTGTGGTACATGGTACGAAAATTAGTTTCCATTTGAACTTCTTCGCTGCACACAATGGTTGCACATGTGCAGTCACATGCAGTGATGTTCAGAACTTCCTGATCAGTATATACTTACTGCTCAGTAGGTTAGAATAGGCCTAGAATTTACGAATTTTTCGAGTTCAACATCTGTATTTAAGGACAGAATATTGATTCAACATTTAATAAAATCACCAAAACAAATTAAAAATACAATTTTTATAATGCTGAAGTTGTTAACTTTTCACAAACATGTTGCAATTTCTGGGGATTCCCCATTTAGGTCTATGCCCTATCTGCATTGCATCGTCCCTAGGTCGGTTGAAGAAAAAAATCTAAGGAGAGCAAAAAATAGTTCTAAAATTTACGCAGATATATCAAAAGGAATGTATACCTCATTGGAAAAGAAATGTCTTGTGATGTGAATTGAGACGATTTTAGTTTGCTTTGCCGTTTTAATCATTGTATTATCTATGATGACTCTGAAATTCTGAGTGTAAACAACATTCAATAAGTTGGTTCACCTTGCTACCTCTGCCACCGAGTATAAACGAATATGAGTGTTGTTTTTCTTTGTATTATCTATCATTTCCGAAATATTTATTTCATCACAAAGAGGGCTAGTAAAAAAACAAACATTCTGATAGTGTGATATTAAACGGGAAGAGCATTTACTAATTATCTTGTTTAACATACATGTATAAAAATAAAATGAAAATAAAAGGTTCATAGTCTTACACAAATCAATTTTAAAATGACGATCTGTTTTTTTTTTCTTCTTCGCGGAAAAAAACCCGGAAGCCCAATGTACGAAAGAAAAGTTGGGCGATGTATTGTATGTCGTCATTACCAGAGCATATGGTGGAGGAGAAATTTCTCGTATCTTATTGGCTAACATGTGATTTGAAAGTTAAACATGGAGTCTGAAAATTGGTAGAAATTTTAACGAACTTTCAACAGGAAAGAATATTGAAATGAGTGCATACTATTGTCTAATATTTTCAAATTAACTTCGTGTAGGTAAATAAGGTTCTTTATAGGCCTATTGCGTTATTTATATTGGTGGTTTTTGTATTAATTTTTGTACCCCATTGATTGAAGTATTGATCGAATACGCCGGCCGCCGGCTTCTAAATAAACCACTGCTGTAAACCTAATCATAAAAAATTGAAATATAAAACCACATTAGGATTTTTTTAAATGTTAAAAATTTATTTTAAATCCGACTAAAATCAAATGAATGCACGATGGCATGCATTTCGATACTATTTTCTTTAGAACCACGCCCAAGAATTAGGCCTACGTTAAAATTAGGTGGGGTGCAGCATCTAGTATCGATTATCCACAATAGGAACAATTGGTATTGTTGAATGACAGACTTCAGTCCTTCATATTTGTTCGACCATTGGGGGCTATGTCTGAAACCCGTCAGTGACAAGGGTACATCCAATGATGTGAATCACCAATGACATGTCGGTCCTTATCAAATATTTACTTTAATAATACTAATTAGTCATAATAACGATAATAAAGGTAATAATAACAACAATATTAATAGTAATATTTATTTTAACAATACTAATAGCAATAATATGGTAATAATAACGATATTTAAATATCTATTTTAATTATACTAATTAGTGATAATAACATTGAAGGTTATAATAGCAATAATAACAGCAATAATAAATTAAAGATAACATTTATTTTTATAATAATAGTAATACTAATTAGTAATAATAATAATAACTAGATTTGAACTCGTCACTGAGGACGAATTCGGTGATCCGCCGTACTTTGACCCTCAGGAAGCGCGCGTGGTGCTGATTGAAAAGTTTCATAATATGCTAAAATATGCTGTAATTAGTTTTTTAAAAAAGAATAATTTTGAGCATTTTAAAAGACTTACGCATGCATACACGCACGTCTTGACGCTGGAGAGCACGGTAATGTCACAAAGAGTGACTCCTGACTGTCAGGAACACAAAATATGTAACAACGCGTAATTTCCAGCTTTAGTATGTGCTGTGTGCGTGGAAATGAAGGTACGGCGGGTAAATTATGGAAAGTTTTAAAAT